TGCTCAAAATTCTGATTGTGCTGCACGGCCTGACCTTCACCCATCCAAAGAGAGACGAGATAAAAAGAGAGCGCAAGACGCGGCGGAGGGAAGGATGCTCTCTGGATATTTTCAAACTTTGAACAATTTTCACTTTGAGCTCCATTTATTTTTAATTACCCATTTTGTCATTATTGTTAGGATTATTATTATTTACAACATTTTTAATTTGTCTAATTTTTTTTTTTAGCTTGAGTGCCTGGGCATTCTCTGCAGTGGGAGGTGTGGAGGCTGCATACTTATCAATGTGGATGTACTCAAAACACATTTTTTTTGGTGTAAATCTTAAACCTTACACATTGAGTTTTCCAATGTCTCTTTCATCAAGTACTTAAAGAGAATCATTTTCTAATTTAATATGCCACAAAGACAATATTTCATGTTCAAACTGACAAACTTAATTGTTATTAAGCAAATGATCATAAACTTTTATGGCACTTAATACATTTAATGGCTGCAAAATGTTTCAAAGCAAGCTGGCACACATTCATATTGACCACTGTGTTACAACACCTTTTCTTTTAACAACATTCACTCAACATTTGGGAAGTGAGAACACTAATTGTTGAATCTTTGTATGGAGAAATCTTTCCCATTCTTGCTGGACGTACAGCTTCAGTTGTTCAACAGTCTCGGGTTTCATTAATTGTATTTTATGCTTCATAATGCACCACACATTTTCAATGAGGGATAGGCGTTGGACTGCAGGCATGCCAGTCTAGTACCCATACTTTTACAACAAAGCCATGTTGTTGTGACATGCAGAATGTGGTTTGTCATTGTCAAGCTGAATTAAGCAAGGGCGTCTGTGAAACAGACATTCCTTGGATGGCAGTCTGGTTCTCCAAAGCCTGAATGTACAATTCAGTATAAATGGTCCCGAACACATCTGTGGAACTTACCCATGCCATTGTAACTAACACAGCCCCACACCATCACAGATGATAGTTTTTTTTTTTTTTTTTTTAACTTTGTCTCCATAACATTCCAAATGGTCATTTTCTTCTTTTGTCCAGAGAGCACGATGCCCACAATTTCCAAAAATAGGAAGTGATTTCTCACCAGAAAAAGTATTTGCTCCCTCCTGATTTCCGTTTTTTTTTTTTTGTTTTTGTTTTTGCAAATCTACCACACACAAAGGTGTCAAATCATTAATTTCAATCTCTTTCAGGGACAATTAAAAAAAAAAAATGCATTTCTCCCTGATGACCACGCGATGTTGCAGAGGTGTGTCAACCAGGACAGCCCCACAACATCCAGAGCCTTGGGGAACTCCGGGCGGATCTCATCCACCCCTGGGGCCTTCCCACCGAGGAGCCTTTTAACCAAATCAGTGACTTCAACCACAGAGATAGGAGAGCCCACCTCAGAGTCCCCAGACTCTGCTTCCTCCAAGGAAGGCGTGCTGGTGGAGTTGAGGAGGTCTTCGAAGTACTCTGCCCACCGGCTCACAACATCCCGAGTCGAGGTCAACAGCGCCCCATCCCCACTGTACACAGTGTTAGTGGTGCACTGTTTTCCCCCTCATGAGATGTCGGATGGTGGACCAGAATTTCCTCGAAGCTGCTCGGAAGTTGGCTTCCACGGCCTCACCGAACTCTTCCCACGCCCAATTTATTTGCCTTGGCGACCACCGAAGCTGTATTCCGCTTGACCAGTCGATACCCGTCAGCTGCCTCTGGGGTGCCACAGGCCATAAAGGCCCGATAGGACTCCTTCTTCAGCATGACGGCATCGCTTACTGCTGGTGTCCACCAGCGAGTACGGGGGTTGCCACCACGACAGGCACCAACTACCTTACGGCCACAACTCAGATTGGCCGCCTCAACAATAGAGGCGCTGAACATGGTCCACTCGGACTCAATGTCCCCCGCCTTCCCCGGGACATGGGAAAAGCTCTGTCAGAGGCGGGAGTTGAAACTCCTTCTGACAGGGGATTCCGCCAGACGCTCCCAACAAAACCTCACAATATGTTTGGGTCTGCCCGGACGGACTCGCATCT